TGTTCAAGCTCTGGAAACCATAAACAGAAATTTCCCAGGGTTGAGCGGAGGTAACCCCCAGCCAACTCCCTATCATTTAAGAAGGTCCCACCATTGTCAGTTATCTGGAAGTCAGGCATTTATGGGAAATCAGTCTCTCAATCCTTAAATTCTGTTTTCCTGAAGGCACACGAGTGAGTTTCCATTTTAAGTGGAATTTCTTTCATGCTGCCCATCAGAAGATATCTTTGGAAATTTTGAAGTCAGAATCATTAGGGGGATTAAAGTAAATGGCTGTTAAAGAATTCAGATGAATATATGCTATCAAATTTAATACTAATGATTCACTAGGATTTGAAGCGACGATGAATGCCAGCCAAGCAGGGTTGTTCCCAGACCTCCTGTCCCACACTGGGGGGAGGTACTGCCCTGGCTCCTGTGCCATTGGGGGCGAGCCCAGGCCTTGCCCAGAATGTATTTCTAGAGCTTCTTAGGTCACCAAGTCCTTCTCATGCCTGTAGAGCCTTCAACCTCACCCAACCATTCTGTCTGGCCCTTCATCACTGCTGCCCCTGCCCTTGGCCGGTCCCTGACCCTTTTCTGTTGACTGGACCCCCAGTCTCAGGTATGTATTTATGCTCTGCCGTGCACTTTTCCCCATTTCCAACCTTGTCCCCTTCTGCCTACCCACACCAGCAGTCCCTATCACCTGCTACACCACCAGTCCTTGCCGTACAGTGAATGTCTCAGTTCCAGCTTGGTGTTCTCAGCCAATGTCACCTACCCTCTGCAGCCCTGACCTTGAGAGCAAGAACAAATTGCAGCTGTTTCAGTAACCTGAAAGTTATGAGACTCTCAGTCTTGTAAATGTGTGGCATTTTTCCATGGGGTCTACAGGGAATATTAGAAATTAAGATATAGATAAGGAAATTATGGTCTGCTAGGGGCAGGAAAATTATGGCGTCTAGGTATCAGTAGGTGCTCAAGCAGCATTAGCTTTTATTTGTATTTATTTAATATCTTCAATACTCAGGTTACTATGAAATAGGTTTTATCCTATGAGGACTTTACATATGGAGTGGAATTGGATGTAACTGAGAGGGACAACTATTCACTTATCCATTGACTTAATAATTATTTATTGAGTACTTACTATGTACTGGGGCCAAAGGTTACAGGGATGAAGTGATTTTATCCCAGCTTTCAGAGCTTACGGTCAGTTGGGAGCAATATAAACAAACTCTAATAATGCTACAAGCTCCTCACATCATGAAGTGCAATGAGCACTGGAAAAGCACTTGTGTTGTTTTGTTATAACCCAAAATCCCAGAGCTTGGGCAGTGGACTCCCCAGAGTAGGCCTCACAGAAATTCAGCAGGGTGTGGAGCAGCATTCAAACTTTCTGCCGGTGGCCTCTGCTCACCTCTAGCCCCCATCCCAATAAGCATGTTTACTCATAAATTCTACCCATGTGCCACTGTTCTCATGTCTTGTACACATTACAAAGTATAACTGAAATAGATATTTTAAAGGATGAAGTCATGAAAATAAATATGAACAGAATTTCTCATCTCCTCTGCTTGTGCCCCAGAGGGCTCTCCCATAGCAGCTCCTGAGTTGACAGCTCAACTCCAAACACCACCAGTCAGGTCCAGAGTAGAGTACTCACTGTTGCCGGTCAAGGATCTAGACTCAGTTCATCCAGAGATTTGGGCCAGCCCACCAGTAACACTCCAAGGATACTACGTGACAATCCAGACATTTCCGGAAAGATGACTGGTAACCACATTTATTCAAGGTGCTATTTCCCTGTGCATATGTCCATTCAAGAAACCAAATTAATTCGAAGTTGCTTAGTGAGCATAGAATTAGAACAAATGGAGTTGTGGTCCGTGGAAATATTTCATCAAACTGAAATAACTGATTGAATGGCCCTTCTCCTCCCTGAGGATATTTTGTTCTGAAGAACCAGTGCTGGACTTCAAATAAATACTGACATATTTTACTATTAGCTTTCCTTTTTCTAGAATCATTTTAGACAACTGCTCTTCTGTTCATTCATCACCACCCTAGAAAATAAGACTGTACTTGATTGGAAAGAAACTTTAGAATGTTAGTAACGTTCATGTCTTGGGGATACAACCTACAGAGACAGAATTGCTTTTGCTTCCAGCTGTGTTAAGACTGGGACTGGATCCGTGCAGGCTCCTGGTGGTTAAAGGGCTGTCGCCCAATTAGGATGAGCTGAATCCCACTGGCATTGGAGACTCGTCTTTATTCCTTCCCAACCTCTGATTGGTGAGAGGGTTGCAACTTCTAGTTTGATTTAGGTTTTATCTTGAGAGACCTTCATTTCCAGCCAGCTGGGAAAGGTGAGTTGGAAACCCTCTCACCATATATTAAGCCAGATCTTGAGCCAGGAAGCGGACTCAGCCCTCAGATGACAGCAACTTAAACAGTAGTTAAGATTCTTTCTTTTCAGGTGGTATCCTAATCAATATCATATCATATTCTTCTTCCCAAGAGGAAACTGGTCGATTTTCCTTCTACTGAAAGTTATGAGATGGCAATCTCTAAAAAAAAATAGCTTAAACCTGTACTAAGACTGTTGGGTCACCTTAAACTAGATTTCCACCGCCACTGCTTTTACCTTAATAAAGACATTTACAAGCATCTTTTGCACTGGTTTAATGATTACAAATTGCCATTCACTTATCTAAATGCCACTATATCCTAGATGTCTCTAAGAACAAAAGCAAATAACATTAACTAAATAAAAGGGTATTTTACCATCTGATAATATAGCAACATCATGTATTTACTTGAAAGTTACAGTTTAAGCACTGCGGTACCAACACAAGTTAACTTTATTCAAGAATAGCAGTTACACTTAATATTGCATAGGTGCCTAATTTGCATAAAAGAAAGGAAAAATATAGCACATAGAAACTAACAGCAAACTAAGTTAATTCATTGTGTTCTTTGAAGGAAAGATATTGCAAAAATAAGTAAAAAACATATTTTATATATATGCAAAAATACATGTGTGTATGTATATATATACACCATTTTTTTAGATGTTAAAGTTTTCCACATTTAATGACCTACTGGGCTTTTATTCAGTGATTCATGAATCAGGCAGCATACAGTCTAAACAAGAGAAACTATCTCCAACAAGCTGTTTATGGCAAGAGATTTTACAGGCCAACGTGAGCAGGAACAAGAGGTTAAACATAGCATTTGCTGATTGGTTAAAGCAGGGTTTCTTCCCTCACACGGAGCCAAGGGAAGGTCTGGAGCCAGGTCAGGTCCCTTGCATTGAGCAGGCAAGTGCCGACTGGTGGACCTGGCCTGCTTTTCTGGGAGCGCAGGGTGCAGAGGCTCAGTTCCGTTTTGGTTTGCTGATGTGGGGCTTAGCATGAGTGACTCCATCCTGGACCTAATCTGGTGACTTTGACATAGGTTTAGTATTAAAGGTAAAGGCTTTAGTAACTATTTTAAGGTATGCTAATGTGTTTTTTTTTCAGTATTTTCTTTAATTGAAGTATAGCTGATATACAGTATTGTATTGGTGTCAGGTGTATAACGTATTAATTTGACAGATATGTTCATTAGGAAATACCACGATGAGTGGAGTCACCATCTGTAACCATACAGTTATTACAGTATTATTGGCTATATTCCCTATGCTGTACTTTTCATCCCATGATGTATTTATTTTATAATTGGGAGTTTGTACCTCTTAAGCTCCTTCACCTGTTTAACCCATCCCTCATCCCTGTCTCCTGTACCACCAGTTTCTTCTCTGTATTTATGAATGTTTGTTTATTTGTTCATTTATTTTTTTAGATTGCACATGTAAGTGAAATCATATGATATTTGTCTTTGTCTGACTTATTTCACTTAGCATAATACTCTCTAGGTCTGTCCAGTTTGACGCAAATGGCAAGATTTCATTCTTTTTTATGGCTGAGTAATATTCTACTGTACATATGTACCACATCTTCTTTATCCATTTATTCATTCATCCATTAATGGACATTTAGGTGATTTCATATCTTGCATGCCCATATATTTTAGTCCTTAGCTGTGATAGTAAATGTACTCAGAAATGTGCACATTCAGTCTCTGCCCTGGAGATAAAGTCAAGAGTTAACACTTGGTCTCATATTAAATTCTTTGTCCACCTATTCTACTGGAATGTGAGTCATCTGGGTTTGGTGTTTTAATTTTGTCCTGTGAACTGCCTTTTTCCAGGGACACGTATCAGGCAATTTGGGGCAGAGGGGAATAACCATGCCTTCCCTATGAGTTCAAGGGTAGAAGCTGATTGAGAGCCCATAGGTGGGCTCAGCTCAGCACTCCCCATCCCCCTCACCTGCAGTCCCCAAGGAGGAAGAGATTGGAGAGGAGGATATTTCTTTCACAGCAGCTCACCTCAGCGGGTGTGGAGCAGTACGGCAGGGAAATGCCTAACCTGGTTCGGCCATCTCCCATTTTCTCCGCTCCCCCAGCTGTGTGCCCGCAGTGCCTGCACCTAGAAGTGGGTGGTGGCTATTCCAAGGCAAAGGTGGTTGAGAAGCAAGAGCAGAATACCAAAGACCCCACCCCTGTTCTGTCCCTCTAGGTCTAGGGCAGATGCTTCCCGTGCCAGACTGGAGCTGCCAGTGCATACGCATCAGTTCAAAACAGCCCCCACCCGCCCTCAGACAGTAACACCAGGGGCTGTTCTCCATTCACTCCTCTCCTGGCATTTGCTCCCTAGGGTCACACCAGGACTGCTCCTGGCAAGAATTCCAACTATCCATTTTTAATAAAATATTTGATGCAAATACACATGTAGAACTTTTTAGAAAGTCAAAAATATGTTTGTGGGAATTTTGTGCAATGTTGTTCAGCATGATGAGACGTAACAAGCCCTATTGCCAATGGAAATCAATTAAAACTCAAGAAATGGGTATCTTTCTCGTTACACCACGACCAAGGTGTCAATCGCCCTGTCGTTTTCTTTTCTTCCACAGGGAATTACTGGAATGCTGCCTCTTTCCCAAATCCATCATCCTACCTGCATTTTTCTACTTTCCAAGGGGAAACTAGTGCCGACATTTCTTTCTACTTCAAAACATTAATCCCCCGGGGAGTGTTTCTGGAAAATCTTGGGAACACAGATTTCATCAAAATCGAGCTGAAATGTGAGTATAAATTCTATGTCAACCCATGAATGGCCACTCTTGCCACTCCACGCTGATCCCAACCCTGGGTGTGTAATTTCAGTGGATTCGAACATCAGTGATTTCCTTTGTCCCAGGAAAGCTGCTGGAAGGGACACACAAACTTGAGGACAGAGGTCCCTTTCCTAGATTCCTCACAAGGAAACAGGCACACACAGAGACCCAAGCCAGGCTATCCAAGGAGGATGGACGAGAACCAACTGCCCTAATCATGTGGGGGAGGAATGTATATTTAAAGTTTCTTTTGGTGTATGTTTATTTTCCCAGGAGACTCTAGATTCCTCACAAGGAAACAGGCACACACAGAGACCCAAGCCAGGCTATCCAAGGAGGATGGACGAGAACCAACTGCCCTAATCATGTGGGGGAGGAATGTATATTTAAAGTTTCTTTTGGTGTATGTTTATTTTCCCAGGAGACGGGGTTAAGAGTAGTAAGAGGATTGTGTAAAGTGATAAGGAATAAGAGAGTGGAGGGAAACACAAAGGAAAATAAGACTAATACAAATTAGCATCTGTCTGTCAGAGCAAGTGACGCAGCCTGGACAGGGCACTGCGTTGCGCGATGAAACTGTGAGTGTGCAGCTTTGCAGAGGAGGCCCCACATCCACACCCTCTGCAGGTCTCAGTTCTGAATTTATTTAACCAAGGATACAGGAATGAATAGAGTCTAGAGCAGAACAGATGCTGCCCAGCTGGGCTCAGCTTGCCTTGTATCCCAAATGCCCTCACAGGGTCCCACCATGCGGGAAAAGCCATCCGTGGAAGGTGCGGGGTTGCTGGGTCTGAGATGTGCAGTTCTCATCACAGCAGGACCCTTTTAGTCCCAAAGCAGAAGTGCAGCTTTAGGAATCTCCAGTCCACAACTTACAGGTTCCGTGAATGTTGGCAGACACCAGCCTCTCCTGGCGTTCGGACTAGGGCAGAAATCAGCAAGATGACAGGTATGACCAGGATGGGGAAGCCGGTCAGAATCTCATGTCCCTCCACAAACTCTCAGTGCCGCTTCCCATGTCAAAAGGTCCCCTTCCTCCCAGTCTGTGCCCTTTATCTGATGCCTGTGTTACTGGGTGTGGCCCGAGTATGATCCCAAATCCATTTCCCAGAAATATCTGATGGAACATTTTTCTTTTTTTGTAATTATAATTATGCACTGTGGTCCTTTAAAAAGGGAATCTCAGTTAACTACCTTTATGCTGAAGTCCTGTGAGACTGTTTTTGTAAAATGGTAGACTGTAATCTAGCAGAAAGTGCACAGGCTTTGGAAATCACATTCTCAGGCTGAAATCCAAAGCCTTGGGTACATTGCTTAATCTCTTGGACCTCAATTCCCTAATTTGTAAAATGGGCATGGTAGTTTGTGGGAACTGTTATGTCGGTGGAATATAGATGCCCGTGAAGCATCTACGTCAGTATCTACTAGGTGTTATCATCTTCCCAAGGGTGCACATTACAGATCCAATCTGAGCCAGATCTGATTGAAAGGGAAGACTGAGAATATTCTAGTCAGCCATTTAAAAACTAAATAAAGAGATATCCTCTTTTCATGAATCATGGATTGGAATTATTAAAAGGGACTTAACTTTGCACAGTTAAAATTAATTGAATCAAACTGTTTCCTGTCTTCCACATTTGTTGGATTATATTTTCAAAGTATCTCATGGAAAAAGGAGAAAATTGACAATTCCGCATTTGAGTAATTCTGTAAGCTTCCATTAACTCACTTGCATTCACCCCATCAGTGTTTCATTTCCCCATGTTGTGTAAACCCTTGCCTGGGTTGGAAAGAAGACAAACCAAGTGTAAAAAGTATATAAAGTTCCTACTTAGCACCTGCATAGTAGAATTCTACTTATTTCTGATGATGAGGATCTTCAGAGATGTTTTCAAGGTTTCCCCAACCTTTCCACAATATGGAGACTCCGGCCGAGTGTGGATTATATCCTCACTTTATCCTATAGCTCTTTCTTGTCCTGTAGTTTACTTGGGGCAAACTATATAAAAGTGCAGGACAATCAAGGTGTGGGTTACAGGCTGGCCTCTCCTCGGAGTCCTCTGGACCTGCTGATAATTCCTAAGGGTGGAAGGGAGACCCCAGTGGCAGAGATTCAAATGCCCATCATCATATAGCACCCACATGGAGGTTCAAAGGACCCTCTGTGGCAAAAAAGGCAGGTTTCTATATTTGAGAAAAACTTCTCCAAAATAAGTAAGAAGCACTGCTTTCATGAAGAACATGGAGAAAATCTGTCCATGACTTGCCACGATCCCACTTAGCACATCTCCCCAGACTCTTCTCTGCAGGGTTCGCCGGGCAGTGAGGCGAGATGGAGTGTCTCTTTGGCCCATTTCTCCCTCCTACCAGAGTCACTCTCTGCAAACCTAACTGTCTCCACGGCGACAGCCGGCTGCTAGGGGGCCCAGGAATGTGGATCCTGAAGGCAAACTTTTTAAAACTGTCTCTACCTTTTTCCCCCTTTAACTTGGTAGGCTTTCTGATAGGAATTCAAATTTTGTTTCTCTGCGTGTGTCTCAAAGGAATTGTCACAGTTCATGCCCACATGGTGGTTTCCAGAATAACATTGCTGTTAATTAACTACATTGCACCCTTCTGTCAGCAGTGAAAGATTCCTGACTCTGAGACAGCGAGACAGTAACACCAACTGAATGAGATACCATAGCATTTTAATGCCCAAGTGAAAAAACATGCATGAGAAAATTAGAAAATTAGAGTGACGTTACTCATTAGCACACTAAATGATTTCCTAAGTTCATGTTTAAAGGCTGTATCTCACTTAGTTACCATCTGTATTCATTGTTCATTCACCGGGTATTAGCTGAGGACCGGTCCTGTCCCAGTGCTAAGGGAACCCCATCAAACCCAATGTAGTTCCTTCCCTCAAAGATCTTTCTGTTTGTTTTGGAAAGCTGACAAATAAATCAGTAATTATGATGATAATAAAAGTAGCTCAGCTGTGTCGGACTCACTATGTCTCAGGCGCTGTTTCCGAGGTTTACCGAAATCGTCTTGGCTACTTTCCCGACCTCCCTTGCAGTGGACCCTACACTATGTCTCTATTTTACAAATGCAAAATTGAGGCCCTGGGCAATTAAGCCGCCTGGCCAGAGTCACACGGCTAGGACGTGGCAGCGCTGGTGTCTGACGCCAATCATTTTTTGTCTGGCTCAGAGTCATTGCTGTCAACGCCCCACACGGGGCATCGCCACCCGGAAGAGACCCTGAGAAGATGGCTGAGAGCAGCAGGGAGGGCAGTATTTGAGCCTGAACGGAGTGGCGGGGGTGCTTCCAGGGAATGTGATGCTTTAATTAGGTTTTGAGGGTTGAGCGGGAGTCAGTAAGGTGAAGAAAGAGGGGGAAGAATGGGGATCAGGAAAGGAAAATCATGGTAGGATGAGAACACGTGGTAGGAGTGAAGGTGTGGGGGCTGCACCCCAAGACTCGGGGGGAGCCGCCGAGCAGGGGGCCCCTACGGGGGTGGGAGGAGGTGAGGGGGTGGGTGCTGGGGCAGAAGGACAGGCGGGTCAGCTGGACCCTGACCGTGACGGGGAGCAGGGGTGTGACCCCGTCAGGTTCTCATTAACAGAGGGAGATGGAAAGCAGACGAGAAGTGGGGCAGCCTGTGTCAGAGCAAGACAGAGAGAGGGGAAGACAGCAGCAAGGGGGGATATACGGCGAGAGATGCTTGGGGGATAGTGTCCACCCACTTGAACACAATCGTCATGAGGGTGAAGTGGGGTGGAAGGTTCTAGAAGGAAGCCAGTGTTCCTGGTTTTGTCTGGCTCATGACAAATGAGAATGGCTCTGAGATGACTGTGTAGGTGGGGCACCTTGGGCATTTGAGAGCAAAGTGCAATCAATCTACAGTGGGTGTTCTGAGTGTGCGTCCACAGGGTATAGGAGTATCCGCCCAGGTGGACACGCCTCCGGGGTGCTGGGTATGCAAGCTTGGAGCCCCGCACAGACTCCTGAGTCAGAAATAGTCTGAGAGTCACCCACACTTAGCGAGCCATCAGGAAAAAGCACTGGGGGTGCCTTCAGCACGGATGACATGGCCCAGAACAAGTGTGTGGAGAGGAAGCAGGGGATCCGAGAATGCAGAAAGGGCTCGAAGGAGAGAAGGGCAGGAAGACGGGGACCCCGGGGACCAAATGAAGAAGGAATTTCAGCCGCAGTAGCAGAAAAGAGTGTTCACCCCCGCTGAACTGAAAGTCACTGAAATAAGGACATAAAGGACCTGCCAAGTTCACCATGTGGAGGTCACTGTCAGAGTCAGGCAGCGTCCCGGGTGAGCGCGGGCGGGGACGGAGCCCCAGAGCCTGTGCTTTTGTTCATTGTCGTAAGTGGTAGTGACCTGAGCGTGCATGTATATTACGGAGGAAAGCCTGGTACAGAGGGAGAGACCGGAGATGGAGAGAGAAAGGGACTGTCCCCAAGGAGGGGGGAATGACTGAGGCCCAGACTACAAATCTGGGAAGGGGCTGGGGAAGCAGGTCACAGTCAGGAGGACAGGACACGCCCCGGAGTCCCAGCGCCCTTTACGAAGCAGACATGATCTCGCTCCTGTTGATGTTTAGTCTGCTTGTTTGTTAGCACTTCTGAGATGGCTGGAATATTGCTTTAAAAAAATTCACTAACAGCCGTGGATATATACATTTACGTATTCACAGAACAGCTTGACTTCTCTGGGTCCCCTTCCTGGCCCAGTGGGGGTCATGACCACAGCCCCATCTCCAGGCCGACACTTCCGGATCACCTGCTGTGTCAGGGGCACAGGGGCAGGTCCGGAGGTTCTGAGGTGGAGCCGAGAGCCCCACACCCTCACCTGGTGAAGGAGACGAATGCAGTAAGAACAGTATGGACGCGTAGCTTTTGCTGTGACTTTTCTAAGAGCCAGGCACTGTTCTAAAGCTTTTATAGGTATTAACATTTATAGGTTTCAC